ATCATTCCCCCATCTCCGACCCCTCCGCCTCCAGCAACAGCAGCACCACCGCCACCACCACCACCAAGAGCCACCTTCATACCGCAACCTCCGGCAGTGGCCATCTCCGAGAGCGACAATCCAGATGCGATTGCCCTGCGCTCCGCCATCTCGCTGCTGCAACTGCAGCGCGAGAAGAGCAAACGCGACCTAAAGACACTCCAAGAGCTCAAGGCCGTGGCTGTGGCCGATCCGCAAGCCTTTGCGCAGTCTATACAGCAACAACAAGCGCAGGCAGCGCGCTCCTATCAAGACGTTCTGACCCCGACACTCTCTGGTCTAATCGAGTCTACGCCCTGCGACGAGGACCACGGCGATAGCGATAGCGGACCTGGCGCGAATGCGCGCAAGGACTCTGCTGATGTGAATGCCAAACTGCCTCGTCCTGGGATCCCTCCCATCCCCCAGCCCCAGAACATTGTGCGATGCCCTCCCATTGAATGGAGCAAATATCACATCTCCGGGGAACCCTTGGACAAGATGCACGAAGAGCAAAAGAAATGGCCTGGTTCCACCGAGCGTCCACGCACCCAGTCAGGACAGCGGGCGCCACCTCATGCTGTATCAGCGCCCTATTCGCCCTTCACCGACAACGTCAGTCCAGCCGCTTCGAAGTCCCGACCTCCCAAAAACTCCAAACGCTCGGCCCATTGATCGCAGCAGAAGCGAGAGGGCTTTGCTCAAGGGCACAAGAACACAGGCTGCTATTCCCCTGCACGCATGCAGGACGCACGAACATGATGCCTTATGGATATTACGATGGACGATTAGACGATGAGCCCTTGAGCGATAGATGGATCCATAAAGCCCGAATAGACATCGGGACTTTTCTGATTTGATCTGATTTGATTGGACTAACCATGGTTGTGTAGCTGTTCGCCAGTGGCCCTCCTCTAGTCTTTTCTTTGGCAAGAGGAAGAGCTAGAAATTGGACGACCGCACCGTATGGCTCTCGGGCAGTCCACAGCGTACACGCGTGTTGCGGCTGTGCGACCCACTTCCCGCTCAGGCGCAGCACACGTGTGGTCCATCTCTGTCTCTACTCGTAGTAGTACAAGACAAGCACACTTGGTACGGCAGTAGTATCCCTCTCTTGTCTCTCCCCACGGTTTCTTAATTTATCAACAAGGCACAGCCCCCCCCCCCCTCATGCTTCACGCCGTCTCTGCCAACGCATGACGGCCAACCGTGCCTGCATCAGTCTGCCCAAGCCCGGCTCGATTAAACCCCCCAACCCCCCCCCCTTGGTCTTTTGACGACGTCATTCATGCCTCCAAGGTATGGCGAACCACTCCAATGGCTGGACAACCACGTCAAGCTTCGCAAGTTCTTGGGCCATCTCCAGGGCCATCTTCTCTACTTGTAAGGAGAAGTCACTGGCCGATCGTGAGATTGGCGTGTCCGTGCAGGCTTGCGGCTTGTCTTTTGAACTTACTAGGTCTTTTTTTTTTCTTTGGCGTGACTGGACCCCCTGGCCTCGGTGACGTTGAACTGCACAGGGCTGTGGCGCATTCCAAGTTTGCGCGTCACCTTGCTACTAGGTGCTGTAGATGCGTAATGTATAAGGGAAGGGAATCGTCGGCCGCCTTCTTTGTCCATTCCACGGACACATTCGACCCTCGCACTTTTCCAACTTGCATTTGCAATCGACTTCGAGGTACGCTGATCTCTGACTGCCAACGCACGCACACTACTACTGTCGTGTACCTCTCTTCTCCCGACATCACCCACCCACCCCTTCTCGCGAAGCATGCGCCCCACCGCGCTCATCCCTGCAGTATGCTGCGTCGCAGCTCTGATTCTCAGCTTCCTCTGTCTCTTTGCCGGCCACAAGAGAGGCTTCATGGAGGGCTATGATCTCCTCACACTCAACACATCTGCCCTTGGCGAAAATCTTCTCAACTCGACACGCTCCTCCGACAATCCCCTCACCAACCTGCTCAACTCCATCTCAAACGACGTCTCCTCTGAAATCAACGAGCGTATCGGCCAAGTCGCTGAGCGTCTAGGCGTCGAGGACTTTTACTCTGCACACCTGCTTAACTACTGCTATGGCCAATACACCCCGCAAGAGGCAGCGAACGCAACTATCAGTGAAGATGACATCAGCAAGAACATCACAGGGTGTAGTCAGAGCAAGGCCATGTATAAGTTTGACCCCACACGCATCGTTGAGGATGCGCTCAACAAGACTACCGGCACAGAAGTTACACTCGACGACTTGAACTGGCCATCAGACATACAAAACGGAATCCGGGCGCTCAATACCCTCATGGCAGCCATGTTCGTCCTCTACGTCATCGCCATCTGCCTTATTTTCATTGCACTTGTTGCAGCACTCTTTGCCGTCATCACCTCGGGCCGCCTATCCGCTTGTCTCAACTTCTTGATCGCAACGTTGGCTTTCGTGGCTATTGGTGTTGCTAGTGGGCTAGTTACTGCAGTCATGGTCAAGGCAACAGATGTCATCAACCAGTATGGGAACGACGTCGGCATCGAAGCGAACAGGGGTAACAAGTTCCTTGCCTTGACATGGGCAGCCACGGGGTTGATGCTCGTGGTGCTGCTGGCTTGGATTGTCGAGTTTTGCATTGGTCGCAGGCGTAAAGCTGTGAGGGAGACATATCCCAAGCACGGCTAAGCTTGGGTGGAGAATAAGTGATGACGCGGTTGCCGCTTCTGTTTCTGCTCATGCCTCTAGGAATCAAAGGAGGCTGTAAAGGTGTAGCCGGCTACGGCTGGATTGTATGACGGTCGACGATGTCATGTTTCTCCTTGATGTACCAATTTGCGCCATATACCCCACAATGCCATAATGTTTTGTCACATAGTAAATAATATTCCTTGCTTGATTATGTGCTTCTCCTGTATTCATTTGACGACCGAGTGTCTTGCTCACTACCGTATCACTCCATGTCACATACACGAGCAACGTGTCGAACAGCAGCAGCGTTCCACATCTTTCTTCACTCTCCCACGCCATCTCATCCTCCCCACAGCCAAAGTGCAGCACGAAGACCATCCAATCCGCCACCTCTCTGACTACCCTCGTCACCCCCTCATCACTCCCCACCCACCCTTCACGCCCTAACGAGGACCAAAAAAGGCAAGGTGTCAAAGTTCGCTCATCGCTGGGCGATGATTTCTAATAAAGTCCCGTATCAGTGTCGGCCGAGATGGAGTTGAAGAGGAAGAGAGCTTGCGCACCTGTGAGAAATTCCTCGCTACAAAGTGTTGATTAGCTTGCATTTCCGCATAAAGGTGGTTACTTTGGGGGAAACATGACTTACAAACTCAGCGTAATGTACCCATCCCGATCCTCGTCATATTTCTTGAACACATCCGTCATCCGCTTCAGGCTGATACAAGCCTGTACAAACAAATCAAAACTCATTGCATTCGCGCCGCTGCGATCGTATGTGCGGTACAGCAAAGTGACGAATTGCTGGGAGAGCCGGTAGCCGAAAGCAATGAGGGCTTCGTTGAACTCGGCATAGGAAATGCTGCCACTGTGGTCTTGGTCGAAGCGGTCAAAGAGGCCACGCCAGGCAGAGAGGAATCCCCATAGACCGCTTTTGGTGGGTTTAGAGTCAGTCTCCGTGTCGGGTCGTTTGTGAGGTGAGTGGTGGAAGAAGGAAAGACTGGATGACGTACCAAAACTCGTCAAAGTTGACGCTCCCCGACCGATCAGTATCAAACATCCGTATCATCATACGCACAGTGTGCGGGTCAAACGGCGTCCAATCCCCATTCACAAGTGCTGTTCGAAGTTCTGCTTCTGTGAGCGAGCCGCTCTCTAGTCCACCAGGTTAGTTTGGCATGCACACGCCCAGCTTGCCGTGGACATGGGAACCTACTATCTTTATCCACTGCCCCAAACAACCTCCACAGCGCATCTCGGTCGCTTGCATCTCTCGGCGGCGCAGGCGTAGGCGGCGGTCGACTCTGCGCCGCAATGGGGGGTCGTCCATGATAGCCCTGGGGCGGGGGTCCATGTCCGTAATTGGCGGGGGGAGGGGAGCCGACTCCATAGCGGTCGTCGTGGCGCGGGTCTGGACGTGAGTTATATGATGAGGGGGTACCTGTGCGTGGGCCTTGCTGATATGCGCCTGGTGGTGGGCGCGAGTCGTAGCCTCCTCCTCCTGCCCCTCCTGCTGCGCCGCGACCACCAGAGTAGCGGTCATCTGGGCGCGAATCATATCTTTGGCTGGGGATTGCGGGAGAGGGCTTGTTGTAGTCTGGGCGTGCGGACGAGGTACGTGGTGGACGTGAGGCTGCGGCCTGGCCGCCCGACATCATGGCTGCGGCCTTGCGAAGCAGACAGTCAACATGGCGCGCGTGCATGTTGCGAGGGAGAAGAGGAGGGGACATACCTGGTCGGGCTCCGCGTGCATAGGCAGCCGATCTGGATTGAAGCCTTTGTTGTACGCCATTGTGGTGTCTGAAATCGTGTGCAGGTACGGCAAGTCGTGGAGAAGAGGGACAAAACAGCTCGAGGCCGACAGCTGGTGTTCGGTTCGTGACACGCGTATCGTCACCGTCACGCTGTGTCGCGGGCGCACTGTGTGATTCACAAGGAATGATCTTTTGGCTTGAGAAAGAGTACTATGGTCGACACACTGGCCGGGTAGATGGAGGACAAGTCAGTGCCGGCCACAGTGGAGGAGTATTTTTGTTTGAATTTAGTCAGCGAGCCTATCTGGCTCTGTTGTGCGCCACCATGGGACACGATGAAAGCCCAAATCCACACACAGCCCTTCCACAGCCTTCACAGCCCACGCTTTTGCGGCTGACGTTGGCTGCCCTGGGCGCGTTCAAGTTGGCGGGGCAGGCTTGGCCCGTAGGACGCGACGCCGTGTCCACGGTCAGATGGCGCACATCATCAGATTCCATGCTCTTCGCCATTGTCCGTTAGTTAGGGCGGCCCCAGATACGAAAGACTACCACTCTAGCGGGGCCATGATGTCCCCGCAATATCGGAAGCAGACTTCCATTAGAAAGCTTCCAACCTTGCTTCCAACCCTTGTACACATTCGTACGTGCTTGTAAGCTATAAAGTACGACTTGCCCGCTGTGACGGGCATGAGAACCAAGCCTTGAGACCAATTCAAGACCAATCATACATGCAAAACCAAATCGAATTCCAAAGGACACAGTCCAAAATGCCTTGCACTACTATCTACATCAAGCCAAGGGTAAGAATGATAAGAATAGACTCAAGACAATCGTCATGCCATCGTACCTCTAAAACTCACCCGCTACCCGGCTACCCGGATTATGTTAGTGTAAAAAGTAAAGCGCGCGAAGGGATAATTGACAAAGAGACGGTCATAACTGGGTATCCAACAACGCCCGAGTCCAGTCGAGCAACAATCTTGGGTGTGAGTGTGCGGGACACTTCTCTCTTTCCCTCCCTTCCTCTCTCATGCCCATCACATCCAATAACACATCTCCCAAGGCCGCCGGCCATCCTTGTCTGCAACTGCACCATCACCACCACTACAACCACCACCATCAACAAGCAAGGTTGACGAAGCGAATTTATACAAGAGTACAATGTGATGTCACCCTATCCAACCGAATGCAAGCCCGCTCCCCAGGAGCTGGCTGTATAAAAACATATTCTTTCGGAGACGGAGCAGAAAAAATAACCTAAACCTCAGACTTGACACGTTTCTGGCTGCCAGCATCCGAACCTTCCTCGGACTGTTTCCTCTTGCGATCGGCAGAGTCGTCGCGACTAAAACTTGGCCCAGTCGGAGCAATAGGCGTCTGGAAGTTGAGAGGACTGGGCAACATGGTGGATTCACGGCCAAAACCCCATTCCGGGTAAAAGCTCGACGGAGACGGGAGGAGACCATTTTCGACGAATCGGCTAGGCAATGCTGAGATGGGCGTTTCCATGTTGTCCCGACTGCCGTACGAGTTGTTGTTCGAGGGGGGTGGGGGACGAGCGAAGGGGTTGGGCGGGCCGGTTGCGCCAGCACTCAGTAGCGAATTGGCACTGGGTGAGGGAGGCGGAAGTACAACACCAGAGGAATGCGAGGCGTCCGTACTGCGTCCAGGAGTAGCGCCAGTTGTGCCAGAGTCTTTCGGGGAGGAATCAGCAGTGGCGCTGCCGGCATCTGAGTGCTCGCTGGGAATCTGCACTCTCAATCGAGGCTTGCTTTCACCCATTCGCAGGCTGTTTGTGCGTGACGGAGGAGGGATTGTGGGCATCGAAGACGTGGATTGGGTCCTTTGTGGTGGCTGTGAAGCGGGTACCTGCGGCGGTTGTGGGGGAGGCGGAGAGACACCATTGGGCTGTAATCGGGACATGGAGGCGACGTCGATGGATTGTGACCGGTTCTCCTGCTTAATAAAAGGGACTTCACTACGAGGGGCTGCTAGATTGTTGTTGTTACTACTGCTGCTGCTGCTGCCCCAATGAGCAGCGAGCATGGATTGGCTGTCGTCAATAGGTGTAAATATACTGTGTCTTGCTGAAGCGTGGAGTGGTTTCGGCTGTGGTAGCGGTGGGCTCTGGAATTCATTTTGCTGAGGGGGAGATGGAACTTTGATGGTGGGCTGCGGTGGGCGTTCTTGATGTGACTGAGAAACTTGCGGAGGAGCCTGCTGCTGCTGCTGCTGCTGTTGCTGTTGCTGCTGAGCCTGCTGCTGCTGATGATGTTGTTGTTGTTGTTGTTGTTGTTGCTGATGTTGCTGTACTGCCTGTTGATGTTGCTGATGTTGTTGTTGTTGCTGCTGGTGTGGCTGTGGCTGTGCCTGTTGTTGTTGTTGTTGTTGTTGGTGGTGGTGGTGTTGTGCCTGATGTTGTTGTTGCTGGTGTTGTTGGTGCTGCTGCTGCTGCTGCTGGATAGTCGGCGGCATTGACGGTCTTGGAGGCTCCTGGTGCATGAATTGCTGGACCTGGGGATGTGTGGGCATCGGGTGTGGGAACTG